ATCCACTGTTGGTAGGCCCCGGAGGGATGATAGCCTTGTGTGGCTGATTAATAGCACCGTAAGTGTTTGGGCTCAAAGGCAATACTATTGGGGCACCTAGAAGGCTCCATTGGGTGAACATCTAACTATTAATTTCGGTTCAGGTAGTGATTTCATGGGTCATGGATTGAGCCCCGAGGAGGGCTTAATGCTTAAAGGGGAGTATACTCGAAATTTTCACTCTCCCTCTGTCCTCCCCCAGTTCGTGCACGCTTGCTCTCTAGCTCTCTCTCACATAAATAAATAGATAAATAAATCCTTTTTTAAAAAGGCGATACTCTTGGGGCGCCTGGGTGGCTCAGTGGGTTAAGCCTCTGCCTTCGGCTCAGGTCGTGATCTCAGGGTCCTGGGATCGAGCCTGGCATCAGGCTCTCTGCTCAGCAGGGAGCCTGCTTCCCCCCCCCCCACCTCTCTGCCTGCTTGTGACCTCTCTGTCAAATAAATAAATGAAGTCTTAGAAAAAAAGGGGGGGCAATACTCTTGATCTCTGGGATTCACTCACTCTCAAGTTCAGCATCCCCTCACCACAAGGGCTGGAAGGCAGGTAGGCAGTAGACCATAGTCATTTTATACTTTTTTTTTTTTTAAGTAGGCTCCATGCCAAGCGTGGGGTTTGAACTCATGACCCTGAGTCGCATGCTCTAAAGACTGAGCCAACCAGGCACCTCTGGACCATCATCATTTTAAACCAGACACTGCTCTTTTAGCTCTGGGTAGCCCTGTGTTTCTAAAAAAAGACCTCCAGTTTCAACTTGATTTCTCCTCTCCCTCTCCAGCTCCTTGAAATGGAGTCAAGAGGGAAACCCAGGTGCAGGGCATGGACACGTCGGCCCAGAGCGGTCCACAAGTTGGACCCGAGCTGGCACCAGAACATAGGGGTCCTACTTCCTAATCTGCACCGAGTCACCCCACCCTGGGCATTGCTCTCCTTGAAGACCAGCCATTCGGTGCAGCTGGCAGCAGGAGCCATCAGCTAAATAAAACCCAGAGATCCTTGCCCCACCTTCCCGTCTCTCCTGCCTGGATAGGTGGGAAGGAGGAGCAGGCCACCTGACCTAGGGATGCCTCAGGAGTCTAGGCGGTCCCCAAGTCTGCCCCTCCCACACCACCCCCAGGAAGCCCTCCCCGGGCAGAGCCCCTTCTTGCTGCCCCACCCAAAGGGATCCCAGGGCCCCCCCCCCCCCCCCCCCGGCGCGCACACACACACTTGCACCTGGAGGGCCTGGGAAAGGGCCAGCTCCCCTGGAAGGAGCCTGGAGGGTGTGTGTGAGGGAGAAGCAGGTGTAAGCGCCGGCAGGTAATACTCGGCTCCCATAGCCCCCTCCTCTTGCTGAGGCTGAGGGCTCAAACCCAATCCCGTCCCCGCCCCTGTGTCCGCTTCCAGGTCTTGAGGACAGGAAAAACGGGGCGGGGGCTGAGGAAGGGGACTGAGTTACACCTAAGGAAGAACTGGAGGATGGGGGCGGCGGGCGGTGACCTCTCAAGGTCCCCGGCGGTTGCCATCGGCCCCTCCCCCTCCCGCAGGTGGGCGCGCCCAGCTCGGTGACGTCACCCCAACCTGCGGCCGGCGGGGGAGGGGCCGGCGGGGACGAGGATGGAGTCGAGGGGCGAGGGTAGCGGGGAGGGACGTGGGATACAAGGCGAGGCGGGACCCGAGACCGGGGCGGGGCTGGGGGCCGGGGTCACTCACCCAGGACGCCACCCGCAGTAGGGTCTGGGGCCGCCGCGCGAAGCTCACGGGGTCCAGGGCGGCCCCCGCGCGGCCCGCGCCGAACGAGGCTCCCTCCATGGCCAGACCAGGAGGGACGCGCGCCCCCGGCACCCTCTGTCTGTCTGTCCGTCCGGCCGGCCGGCCCCGCCCGAGGCCGCCCGGGTGTGCTGCCGAAGCTGCTGGTGCTGCCGCTGCTGCCGCCGCCTCCCGGGAGCGCGCGCCGGCCGCGACGGGGGCGCGCGGGGCGGGGCCGAGCCCGTGCCCCCCGCCAACTGGTCCGCGTGCGGGGCTGAAGCCCGTCCCTCCCTCCGCCGCCCCGCCCACCCCCCTTCACCTGCTAGAGCCGGGTCTGAGATGCGAGACCACCCCCAAGCCCCCAAGAGGGGCACTGGGGGGCTGGGGACTGAGTCCACCACCGTCCCCACACAGGCGAAGTCAGGAGTCAGCAGTGGGGGTGGACACCAGGCTCAGCCTATGCTGCAGCCAGGCGAGAGGACAGGCAAACCTGACCCCGCCCCTGGGAGCTGGGCCCTTTCGAGTAAAGGGGTAACCCAGGTCCAAGGGCTCCCGCTTCTTCCCAATGGGCGGAGCTCCACCCTCCAGCCCTCAGGGAAGGGGAACCCGACTCCCTGAACCAGGTTCCCCTTAGACCAGAGATCAGTTACTGGGCCCTTTCCTATAACCACCCCCCCCAATGCAACCGCAGCTTCTCCATCAGGGTTCTAGCCTCCCTGTCAGGGAGGGAGAAGGCCTCTACCCCCCAGGGGCACTTGTCCGGGAGGTCAAGCACACAGACCAGCATGGGTGGGAGCTGGGACATCTCTGCTCCTCTCTTGTGGCCAGATGTTGTCATTCCAAGAGCGCTCACTGAGCCCTTCACACTCCTGGGTCTCCCCAACTGACTTGTGGCTGGCATGTTGAGTTTGGGGCTCAGGGATGGGAAGAAGCATGAAAGATGGGGGCCCCTGCTGGGCTCTTCGGTAGCTCCCGCAGCCCGAGCTTGACAGGGTCCCTCCCTCATGCTGCTTCCTGGCCGGCCTGGCAGGGTCCCGGATGACTGTCCAGGGCATTGCAAGAAACGTCTGCCTTTGCTGAGCATTTACAGTGCCAGGCCCTTCACAAGCCCCATGGACGACGGAAGGAACTGATTACCCCTGTCTTCGTACTGCACGTGGACCACTGGCTGAGTTCTTCCAGCACATCAGGAAGCCCCTAGCCATGCTGTTCCTGTGGATGGAAGGGGACGCTGGGCTCGCCCCTTGTGGGTCCCACCCCAGGGCAGTTGTGGCCAAAAGTGTCACCCACCAGTCTCACTACCAGTCCCCGACACTGTGCATCCCGTCTGTCACTGTGTCTGGCGGTGACAGCTCCTGATCTGTCTTGACCAGTGGCCACTTCCCCCTTTGGTCCCAGGGCGATTCAGACATGCCCACCCTCCTGGAAATGCTTCCGGATGTCACCCCCTCCTTATGTCCCTGTTTCACCAGTCCCTTCTCACCACCCTTTTAGGGTTCTCTCCTCTTGTAACCCTGTGAGCCCCTGTAATCTCTGAACCTTGGGAGCCCAAGGGCATGATCTTGCGACTTTTCTCCCCCTCTCTGCCCAGTCCCTCCGTGAGAGTCCTGATGGCTTGAGCCAGAACCTCCCCTTGAAGTACAGTCCCACTTGTCTTAGCCCGGGTTGGGGGTGAAACCTCCAGGAAGCCAGAGTTAGGGGAAAAGGGAAGAGAGGCAGGACAGGAGAGCATGTCCAGGTGCCGCGTTCCTGAGCCAACGGCTTCCCTGGAGAAGCTGGCTGGTTCTCCGACTAGCAGGTGACGTGGGAGAGGCCAGAAGAAAGCCATGTGTTGGGAACAGTCCCTCGAGGGGAGGAGAGAAGAGCGATTTCTGTTGGCTGCTTCCTGCCTCCAGTTTCTTTGCCTTGCTGTCCTCTCTGGGAAGGCGCTGCTGAAGTCAGGCCCCCCGTGGTGCCCGCTGGGTGAAGGTACAGAGGAAGCCGTGCCGAAGGGAAGGACGAAGACACCACAGGGAGAGAGAGGACCTGTGCGTGACAACCGCAGGGATGGACACACCGTTGCTGGGCCGTGCGGGCTGGCAGCCAAGTCTGGGGGCGTGTGGCCGGGCAGACCTGGCAAGGGCCAAAAGCTACACGCCAGTCACCCCATGCCTGCTCTGCCTACAGTGTTCTCCAGAGCACGGATACGGGAACAACTTCATCCTCCCAGCTGCTCGGGCCCGAACCCCCCAGTCAACTCTGTCGATCTGCTCTGACCCGTCCTGGGCAAGCTTCCCGCTCAGCTCCCACAGGGGTGCCTGCCCTCCCTTGCTCCCACCCACAGCTGCCTCATCCTAATTCAGCAGCCAGAGGAACCTTCCAGAAGTCATCTTGCCATTCCTCGGCTCCAAATCCTCCAAGACCTTCCGGTCACAAGAGGTGGGTATTAAAACAGAGTCCTTGCTGGGGACGTGAAGACTTCGTGCCAGCTGACCTCCCACTCACCCCTGAGCCTCCCTCCGCTCTGGCACTGGGCTTCCTTCCTGTTCCTGGGGCTTCCCAGGCTGCTCCCGCCCTGGGACCCTGCCCTCCTCCCCCGGAGCAGAACCTGGATGGAAGGAGGCAGCTGAGCGGAGCAGCATGCTCAGGCCCTGTCTGTCACCACAAGTCCCAGCACAAAACACACCAAAGCCAGGCCCTTAGTCACTTCTCTACCATTTTATTTTGGTCTCGAGCTCTGAGAACGGTGGCCCGCGAAGCCTCTTGACAGGCCCGGTACAGGTATACGTGCTGGACAGGAAGCAGGCAGCAGTGCCGGTGGGACCGCTGGGGAAGCCACCTGCCTGTGCTCGCTCTGTAGGCACTGACCCAAGAGGAGAGCTCAGCCCCCAGGCCTCCCTTCTGAGTCGCAGAAAGCACAGAGCCCACGGAGCTGCGGGCACCGCTGCCGTCCCTTGCTACAGGGTAAGGAGACAACGGCCTAGCCCTCAAGGAGCAGGACAGGGAGCTGGGCAGGCCCGTCACCTTCCTGTGCGGGGAAGTGGGCACCAGGATGTGGGGTGAGCCTGAGGCCACATCCCAAATGGAAGGCGCATCCCCGGCTGTTCCTGCCTCCTTCATCTTTAGTCCCACGGGCCTTGGCTGTGGAGCAGCCCTCGGGGTGTCTGCAGCAGGCACCCCCGCTTTTCCTCCAACCCTAAGAGGGAAGGGCCCCCTGAGCAGTGTCTGGGGACCATCCAACTGACACACGACAGGCTCTGGCTCTGACGCACTTTAATGAGTGCCCTGTCCCCCTCTGGCCAGGCTGCCCGGAGGCCCGGGCTGCTGTCCCACAGCTCTGCCGGCCACCGCCTAGTCGCAGGAGCCGTCCTTCCAGCCATCGCGCCAGCGCTCGTCCACCTGTGAGCAGTCGAAGTCGGGCTTGCCCAGCTTGCGGTTCACCTCGTTGTGCAGGCGGCACAGCCACTGGCTGAAGCGGGCCCGAGTGCGTGTGTCTGGCTGGTTCCTGCATATCCTGTGGGGAGGTGGGGCAGGTGGAAGGCGGGACAGGCAGCGGTCCCACCGCCCCTGCCCCACTGGCTCTGCGCCTGCTCCATCCGGGCAGGAGAGCTGGGGCGCTGCTGTCAGCTACACCCAGGAGGGCCCTTGTGCTCTGGACACAGACACACGCAGCCCTGCAACCTTCCCACACACTGGCACGCTCTTAGGCCTGCTCAACCCTTACCTGGGGAGCTTGGCCAAACCTGACGAGGACTCAAAGCAAGGCATTAAGACACCAATGATGCAACTTTACAATCTCGTAACAATCAGGAAGCCTCACCCCAGCATCCCTGGCCCCAGGCAGTGTTTAAGGGGTGGGGCCACACAAAGGCCTAACAGAAAACCTGTTTCTAGCACCTGGGGCCCTGGGGCCTCCGCCCAGCAAGAGAGCTGTTCTAACTGCCCTGGCCCCCACATTCAGCGCAGAAACAGAGGTGCCAAACAACAGCTCTTGGGCTCCCCAGTGAGGAAAAGGCAGCTCCTAAAACCAGTGGGTTCTCAAGGCCTTAAAGTTGGCAGTCCGACTCCAGACGTCAGGCAAGGTGGGCTCATGAACCTGCCCGAGCCTCCAGGAGGACTCTGCAAGTGAGGCCGGGCGGGGAGCCTCTGGAGCAGCAGCCCCATGCAGCTTGGCCCTCAGGGGAAAGGAGACAGCTGGGTTGATCCAGTGTCCACTGCTGGTGGTCCGTGCTGGGGCTACCCTGCCACCAGGCACCTGCTTCTCCAGGCTCCCCTTTATGACATCAGGGGGGTGGGGGCGACAGGCCCCGGCTCCAGGGGCACTGCTCTGCGGTCTACGGATGATGCGGACACACTTACCTCTTCCTTATATCTTCAGCACACTCCTCACACGGATAAAACTTGGAAAATAAATGTATGAACTGGGCCATGTCTTGCTGCTGTTCTGGGGTGGGCAGATCAGGGTAGTAGGCAGCCAGGGTGTGGAGGACAGCCCAGCTGTGCCGGCCCAGTTCCTCGCGATCCTGAGGACAGTCTTCCCTAAACTTGCTGTCCCGCTGCGGAAGGAGGCCGACCAAGGGTCAGTTCGTCTCCCCGGAGGAAGCCCGCAGAGCTCCCGTTTTCCCCCGCCCCAGCCAGAGGCCCACTGACTCGAGCCAGCCCTGCGGCCGCCGCTCCGCCACACGCGTGGCTGAAACCCTAAAGGCCGGGCCTCCCTTGGTGGCAAGGTTTAGGGACAGCCCCCTTGCGGGGGAGGGCACAAGTCTGTGAGGCATAGGGCCCGCGGGACCGCTCGGCTTGGGCCTCGGGAGGTGGGCGCGGACGCCTGAGAACCAGGCGTGGCGGCCGGGACCAGGGGAGGTGGCCGCCCCGGGCATCTGCACCTTCTGCTGCGTCCGCATCCACGTCTTGAAGTCCACGCAGGCCCGGCAGGGCCGCCTCCGGGAGGTGTCCTCGGAGACCTGAGGATCGGAGGCCGGCGCCGGGGCTGGGGTCGGGCCCGAGGCGGCCGCATCTCTCCGCCCCGCGCCCCGGCCGCGCGCGTCCGTCACCAGGTCGTCCATCACCTCCGAGCGCGCGCCGCCGGGCAGGAAGGAGAAGAGGCTCCCGCCGCTGAAGCGGCCCCGCTCGCCGGGCGCCGCCATGTTGCCCGCGCAATGCCTGCCGGGCCAGCTCGGCCTCCAGATAGGTCTCCAAGTCGGTCTCCAGGCCAGCGCGCGCGCCGCCGCCAGGGCGCGGCCACAGGAGCCGGCCGCGCGCGCCGCGGCCGCGGGCACGGGCGCGGAGGCGGTGCTCGAGCTGGGGGCGGGGTCCGGGGCCGGGGCGGGGTCCGGCGGAGGGGTGGAGCTCTGGTCCGCGGCGCGCGCCGGAGAGGCCGCAGAGCCCGAGGCCGGGGCCCAGGCCGGCGCGGGCGCGGGCGCGGGGTGGGAAACCCGGGTGCGGGCCGCGCCCCTGGGCCTCGATCCGCGTCCGGAGCCTGACTTGCGTCGTCCGTGGCGGCGCTCCCGCTTCCTCCAGTAGAAGAGCAGCGTGTTGTGGAAACCACGCCGCGGCCGCGCCGTGGACTCAGCCTGCGGCCGAGGCGAAGCCCGTGTTCCGGCCCGTGACGCCCCCATCGCTCCGCTCTGACCGCCCCGCGTGCCCGCGGCCAGGCTCTGTGCCCTCAGCTGGGGCGCGCCCCGAGGCCGGCCGCGCGGCGCCCTGGCAACGCGGGGTGGCGCGGTGAGCGCACAGAGCGCGGCTCGCGTTAGGGCCTGGGTCCCGCGGGTCCGCCCGGGCGACCGGCGCCACGGCAACGGGTCTCTGGGCTCCTGAGGGCACCGCGTAGCCTGGATCCTGTGGCCTGCCTGAAGGGGTTAAGAGCCATGTCGCGAGTGGCCGCAGCTTCTATACGTACACTGATTCACCCTGCAAATATTTGGGTAGTGTCTAATCGGTTCCAAGTGCCGGTCCAGGCCCTGGCCAGGGCGGGGCGCAAGATCCGTCCTGGACCTCCTCCCTGGGCTCATCGTCCAGTGGTCGAGACGGAAAAAGCAAGAACAAAACAAAAAAGTGGCACACTAACGAATATTCCCTGACAAATGTGGGGACGACGAACAGGCATGGTAAATCCAGGAGGTCTCCTTGAGGAGGTGACACTTAGGCAGAGGCCTAAAGGAAGAATAATCAGCTGAGGGAGGGCAGTCAAGGCCAAGGTTGGAGGTGGGCGTGGGCAGAAAGGCGGGTGGGAGGGGACCTGGGGAAGGTGCTGAGAGGAGAGATCCAAAGGTAGGCAGGAGCACACGGAGGGCCTTGTCAGCCGGCATGGGAACTGGGAATTTAAGGACCATGGGGGAGGACAATTTGGGGCAAGGCTACCCCAAGCGGATCCCCTTTGTGTTTTGCAAAGACTTCCCTGGAGGGTGGATTTCATAGGAGCTAGTGAGGAGCACGGGGTGTGGGTGGGGGTCGTCCAAGGGATAGATGAGCCTGGGGTCTATGGAGAGAGAATGGAAAGGAACCAGGATTGCTGGGGTGTGAAGCAGGGGCTTTCAGCTGGGGCAGAGAGGGGGCCTCAGCACCCTTCTAGAGATTTCTGGCCGTGAATAAACAGGCCCTCTCCCAGCTTTTCTCCTTATCTTCAAGGGGAGAAGTGTCTGCCCCACCCTGCCCCCTGCCAGGCCAGCTGGGACCTCAGCATGGCCCCCACTGAGGTTGGGAGAGCGTGACAACTGGGCTGAAGGCGGTCTGCAATTGAGGCCTGTGTCAGCAGGTGTTCATTGCCTGCGCCAAGACCAGGAAAAGTTTGAGAGCGCTGGTAGGACAGGTGCACAAAGGCCCTTTGTCAAGGCTAGGGTGATTTCTGGGAGGGATGCCCTAGAGGCTAACCCCTCCCTGGACAGCTTGGGGTAGGACTCCCAACCTAGAGCTGGTGGCCCCAACAGCAGATAGAGCCAATGTATACCAGGGTTGGATGGAGGTCGGGAAGACTTCGTTATAAGGAAGCAGCCCAGAGACGTCGCTATAAGGAAGCAGCCCAGAGACGTGGGGCACCAGAGCATCCCCTGTCCGGGGATTCTAGGGCCCAAGCCGTCTTCACCCCAGTTAGTGGGGGAATGGTGACTCCTGTTCTCGGAGGCTGTGTTTGCAGTAAATTGTGACAAAAATCATGAATTCAGAGGCAGCTCTCAAAAACCAGTCCTAGTCACCCCGCCGTCCCCTGCCAAGTGCCAGCCACTGCAGAGAGGGATCCTCTTTGTCCTGCCCCAAGTCTTCCCACCAAGGGGGAACCTCTGGGGTGAGCCTGCAAGGTCCACCCCCCCCAACACATCCAGAAGAAGTGACGTTAATTATCCATTTAATACAAATTTCCTCTCCCGTGACTTGGAAACATTAAGAGACCTTTCCTGCAATGTGAGTATTAAGCCAAACAAAGTACATAAAGGTTTCAGCACTGGGTCCTTGGTTCCTGATGACAACAGCAGTCAGCTTCCCAGGTGAGTTCAAAGACAGAGCCATGGGGCACGCCCTGGAAGAGGCTCCACTAGTCCCAGCACCCCAGCGGGTGTGGGAGAGCCAGGAGGGGTTCGCGAGGCCGCAGCGCTTTGATGGCTCTGCTTACCTCCTCCTAGCACAAGCCAGACTCATGCCTGAGGGACTCAGGCCGCAGTCCCCACCCTCTACTGTCTCTCTGCCCCACCCTGCCCCCACATACCTCTCAAGCCCTGTGTTCCTGTCTCTCAGATCTGCTTTGGGCACAGTGAGGAAGCTGGGAAAGATCCAGGGGCAGGGCAGCGATATGAGGACCTGGCAGGTCTGGGGCGTACCTGGGGAATTCCAATCAGTCTTCCGGGTGCTCAGGAGCTCCCTTCCTTCTCCCCCCTACCCCAGCGTGAGCCAGGACACAGTGGGACCCTAGGCCACACCTTGCCAGCTCCAGAAGCCCAGGACTGTGACCAGTGCAGCACAGCAATGGCCAGCCCCCGGTATCCGGTGTCCGTGTGTGCAGCGGCCCTAGTCCAGACAGCGCGGCATCAGGTATGATGGGGGCGGGGTGGGGGTGGTGTGTGTCCCTGCCAGCCCCAAGGAAGAAGGATTTCCTGGCCCAGACCCTCCAAGGTGCCCCCAACCTTTGTGCCAACAGACATTTGCCTTTTCTGTGTGCTGGTCGGACGGCAGCGACACCTTCGTGCGCAGGAGCTGGGATGAGTTCGGGAAGCTCCATGTGAGTGAGCCTGAGGTGAACCCCATTGCCCCAGCGGCCAGACCCTCCAATGGCCCCTGGCTGGGTGTTGGCCCTTGCGCCCGCGAGGGCATCCAGCTCCTGCGACACCCAGCCTGGCAAGGAACCCTCACCCTCCCAAGGGAACAGGTGAACTCTGAGACCGATTCGCTGGTTCTCCCTTAGAAGAGCCTCAAGGAGACCTTCCCGATAGAGGCGGGCCTACTGCGGAGATCCGACCGTGTTCTCCCCAAGCTTCCCGGTGAGACCGTTAGCGAGGCTGACAGGGATCCCGGAAGGGGCAGGGGCGCCAGCGACCTGGTGGAGGGAATCCTGGGGTGGGGTCCCACGGTCCCTTCCCGTCGTGCCCGCAGACGCGTCGCTGTTTGTGCGCGGGGGGCGCACAGGTCGCGGCCTGGCTCGCCTGCGGCTGCTGGAGACCTATTCCCAGACGCTGCTGACCATGGCGGCGCGCGTGTCCCGGAGCCCAGCGCTCAGCGACTTCTTTGCACCGCAACCCCTGGACCTGGAGCCTGCGCTGCCAGCCGGCAGGTGCCTCACTCATCCCCAACTCCCTGCCCGCAAAAGCACTTGGGGGATGGGGGAAGGCTGGGCGGGTTGGGGAGGGACAGCGGGCCCTCACCACACTTCCTACCCACCTCTCGCTGCCTGCTACCCTTCCCAGTCTGCTGATCCTGCCAGCTCCCGAAGAGCCCCTAGGCCGCCCGACGGACACCCTGGCCATCCGTGGCCTGGAGGCTCAGAGCCTGCGCTGCCTGCAGCCCTTCAGCACCCAGGACACGCAAGGCCGCCCTTTCCATGCACGGGCCCGGGAGGTCCTAGACGTGCTGCTGCAGCACCCCTCAGGTGGGGCCGGGCAGGACGGAGAGAACTCGCCCTCTGCCCGCACGACCGGAGCGGGCTTGGGGGGGTGGTCTGAGCTTCCATGCACCTCTTGCACACAGGCTGGTGGCTGGTGGCGAACGAAGACCAGCAAACAGCGTGGTTTCCTGCTCCGTACCTGGAGGAAGCAGCCCCTGGCCCACAACAGCAACCCTTAGGGAGCAGTGGTGATTACCCATCCCCCAACACCAAGCCAGCCACTACCACTGGGCAGCGTGTGGCAAAGCTGGGCCACAGGGAACAGCTGAGCGAGTACTGGACATGGGGACAGTGTACTTGGTCCCCAGACTGAGTGGGAGCACCAGTGGGTTTGGGTGGCCCCTATCATCAGGGGGATGCCTGAAAGTGGTGACTCCATGGGAGGAGATGGGACAGGTCAGGGCCCTGGCCCCTGGCGCCCCGCGGCGACCCCCAAATACCCACTCCGCAGGGTCTCAGTTCTGTGCTTCCCAAGCCTATGAGAGCAGCCACGCAGATGAACTCTCCGTGCCTGCCGGGGCGCGCGTGCGCGTGCTGGAAAAGTCGGATCGGGGCTGGTGGCTCTGCAGGTGCAAGGGCGAGGGGCTTGGGCGGGGCCAAGGGGGGGCAGGATCCAGCGCGCGCTCTAAACCCCGCCCTCCTCGCAGGTTCGGCGGGCGCTGCGGTCTCCTTCCCGCTGTACTGCTGCGACCAGAGGGGCTGGGCGCGCTCCTGAGTGGGTCAGGGCTCCACCGCAAGGAGGACAGTGAAGAGGCCAGGGTGGGAGATCCCCAACGTCCCCCAGAGACCCCCCAAGGCACAACGCTACCCCCTACAGTGCCCACCCGCCCTCCGCTCAGCGCCATTCGTAGCCGCTGCTGTACCATCACCCGCAGGGCGCTGGCACGTAAGGACCCTCTCCAGGGCGTGCGGAGCTGCGCAGAGGGCAGGCCCAAAGCTCCAGACCCCGGGGATGACTGACGCTAGCCTAGCGGGGCCACCGCCACCACGGCTGTGGGAGGAGTATCTGGGGGTGGGACCTCTGACTGGCGGCCGGGAAACCAACCTCCCCCATGTCCCGAGTAAAGCTCTTCCCACAGAGGCACAAGCTAGTGTCTGTGCTGAGGGGCAGGCTGGGGGCTGGGGTGAGACACAGTGCACACACAGGGAGTCCGGAT